TGGGAGGGTTGTTGAATCTATCATTGAAAAATTTTATAGGCAGGTTAGTCAAACATTTATCAAGGATGGTTTATACTGGAACAACAGGGGCTTGGCCCAGGTGACTGTGAGGTCCCTTTCAGCTTAGTTATCTATGATTCTATGATCTTAGCAATTGAAATGCTACTTCTGGAGTGAAACTGCACAGCAGGAATGACTTCTACTTTTAAAATGATCTGGCTAGTGACCCCTGCTGAGGCTGGAAGATAAACTGAAACACGGGGCTTTCCTCCCTTCTTCCCTCCCTTTCTGATGATTAAATTAAACGTATTTATTTTTTTGACGATCATGTTTGTTGTGCCTTGTTTGCCACAAAACACAGACTATCATGTGGGGAAAGAACAAATGCATTCTATAAAAATAGAAGCAGTGGTGCCCCTCTTTCTTAATGTTTTTAAAAATGTGGATACTAGTGTGCACCCAAGAAAACTTCAGGAGGAAATTAATAAATCTGCTATCAAAGTAGGGCTTGACAAGTGTGCAGTAAATTAAGCAGTGAGGTGATAATGACATATTAGACACTTTCTCATTGAGTTAGTACTATCTGGCCTATGGACTTCATAAGCAGGGATTCTATGGGGGAAAAAAGTAGAATGATCATGTAATTAAAGTTGGTTTCATAATGAATACATTCAATGGAGGGAAATTAAAATTGCTTGTCCAATTTTAATTCTGTTTTTATTCTTTTAGAATGTATGACTCTGAATTCTTTTAACATAGGTTGTATCTGTGTGTGTCATCATAATAATGCCCTCTTACTTCATATTTTACCACAACATTTGACAAAAGTGGGACACTTGGATCAGCTCCTGTGAATTAGGAGGTGGGGGTTGATGGCCATTTTTTTTAGTGGGAGATCCTTAGCTCTCTGGAATATGCTGCTCTACCCATGGTGCAATGCAATCCCAATTTGTTTCTTTATCAATGACTATCCTACCACAAGCCATGCCTGCTGCCTCATGTATGTAAAAAAAAAACAAAATACAAAAAACTTTTAAAGCTGTGTCTGTGTCTGAATCGCTGATTCTCTGAATTGGCATCGAATCTTCAAATTCAGATTTGGCCAAATCGAATCAGGGACAACGATCAGAATCAACAAATCAAATCACTGTCCCTGGTTCAGGCTGAATCCAAATCAAATAGGGCCTGCTTCGCACATCCCTAGAAAGATTCTCCGGTGAAATTCTACCAGGACTTTAACAACTTCCACTCCTTCATCTAACTGACTCTGGGATACTCTGCTCTGAAAATTCATTTCTTGAACATCACTGTGACAGTTGGCAATGGCTGTATCACCACCATAATACTGGAAATCAACTAACCACCATAGGTACCTCCACACCAGCAGCTATCATCATAAGCACACCACTAGATCCATTATTTACAAATTTCTACATTACAAGCATATCTGTTTCTCATTAGCTTTAGTGCCATCCCTTTCAGAGACCACCAGTACCTGCATGGTACTGTAGAGGAACTAAATGCAATGATGCTTCTCCTGACTGTTGCAGAATTAATCTGATTCTTGCAGCAGAGGAATGATGGCAGCTCTGAAGTCAGTGGAAAAAACAGTAAGCAAAACTCTGCTTCATTTACAAGTATCATGCAGACAAACAGGAATAACGTAGACCTGAGAAGTACGCACTGTAATCCAGCAAAGTGCTTATGTACATGCTGGACCAGGGCCAATCATAAAAAAAACCAAAAAACAAAACACCAGTGACTTATTTTTAAAGCTAAACTCTTATACTATTACTCATGTTGAATACCACTACTTTACTAGTGGCCTAATGATCTCAGGGTTATTAATATTTGGTAATGTTCATTAATGTGGGGTAATTACTGCACATTTAGTTTAGTACTTGCTTAATGAAGTGCTAAGTGTGCAGTAAATAGTTACTGTGCAGTAGCACCAGCACATGGTTTTTTAATGACACCTACTGCGCAGTAGCCTAATACTACTGCGCAGGAGCATATTAGCGTAGTTTTAGCCTGGCACATTACTGTGCAGTGTTATTAGGCTACTGTGCGTTAAGCGTCTCGTGTAGACGTGCCCTCAGTGGCATACTCCTGGAGTAAGATACTATTTATTGTACTCAGGGTGTCTTGCTCTGGCCCTCATTTTATAATAACTCGTATCCCAGACCCTGAATTTAGTCCAGTTTCAGACAAATCCTCAAACTGTCAATGTTTTCTCAAAAGCATTGGGCGTTAACCAACTTCAGTCACATTTATTCTTTGCTTTTACTGAGCTTCTCAAAGAAATTTTTGAACACTAATTAATTAAACCTCACAATACTCCTGGAGACAGGTATGGAGTCTCCTCTTACAAATGGATAAACACAGGTAGAAATTAATACACGCAGGTCCCTTTCAGTAAAACACCTGCTTAACACTAAGCACAATCAGCATGATCCTCAGTTCAGCATGTAAGCAAATGTTAGTCCTGTTCCTATCAACAGAAGTTAAGCACATGAGTATTTTGTAAGCACATGCTTAATTTCTTTGCTGAAGGTCACAGATAGAGGGACAGAAATAGACCACAGGAGGTCTGAAGTGCTGTGAACTAACAGGCTATCTTATTCCTCTACAGTTTGGGGAGGAATTTTTTTGCCATTAGTTGGCTCACAGGCTTCCATATGCAGAAACTCTCCCTTACCCCCCTGCTAAGGATATCAGTGAGGTTCTTGCCACCTATGGTCATATTGGCATATGATTTCCTCATAAGCAAACCTATGAAAAATTGCAGTGTACACCTCCACCGAGTGTTTTCTTATTGCTGTTGCTGGAAAGCATGTTTATCCTGATGTGACACTTCGTTCCTGGTAAAATGTTTGAATAGTATAATTGTTTCCAACATATTGTTCTGGCAATTGAGATGAGCTACCACTTGGTCATAGACCCTCTTATACCATTATAAATGCTATAGGATCTCTCAAAGTGAGGTCCATGGGTAACTTATGGCTAGCGAAGTATTTGCATGCAGCCTGGAAAGAAACTTGTTCAATGGCATAGGTCCTTGACAGATTCAACTGATTGAGGCTGTAGTAATTGGCTGTTCATTAGTAACAGACTGACAAACCTTTGTAACAGCTTTGTATTTACCTTAATTTTAACCTTGCATGTGTAAGGCGTATTCTGTTAAATCTATTGACGGAAGTATTGTATCATAGATTCATTTTGTGTTATGACCCCCAGCATGGTGTCATGATCACCTATATAGCCTTCCATGAACAAAATTTGGGAACTCCTAACCCTAATTTTGATCCCTCAATTTTCTTAAGTCATAAACAAATAAACAGAGGTTGTTTCTACACCTTTGATGTTTGCCTATTTCCCACTGACCATATCTTATCTGTTGGGGAAAAAAGGATATTTCCAATGGCATCCATTAGAAACCTGTACATATAGCAGTCAACATTGCCCACAATTTTTTCCAAACTGGATAGTTAATTTAGAAATTAGTTTAGATTATTATTTCAACTATGTTTTTATTATTTAGTTTAGATTATTTAGTTTAGTTTTATTATTTTTAGTTTAGATTATTACTGGGTACTTGTCAACAGTTTAATCTAATACATTTAGATTTTTAAAGCCAGAAAGAGCCACTAGATTGTCTAATCCAGATGTTCTCAAACTGTTGTCTGCAGACCACCACTGGTCCGTGAGCTCCAATCAGGTGGTCCCCAGAAAAGTTGTGGAACAACCAAGAATATCTGTACTTGTAAGGTAAGACTACTGGTATTAAAATATGAGTTGTGTGCTTTGATTTGTAGAACAAAAAAAAAGTTTAAGCCGTCTGCCGAGACCCCTAGCAATTTTGCAGACCACTTGAAAAAGAAAAGTTTGAGAACCCCTGGTCTAGTCTGATGTTATATGTCTCATAGGCCAGAAACTTTATTCATTCACTCCTGTATATTTTATGTAATTATTTGTGGTTCCATAGTACCTTCTAAAAACTTATTTGTTTGGCTTAAGCACATCTTCCAGAAAGGCATCCAGACATGTGAACATTACAAGGAATAGAGAATTTGCTACATCCACTGGTAATTTATTTCCCCTATATCTTAGTGTTCAACTGTGACTGACTGCTGGACAGACCTAACCATGTGAGGTCAATGGATGGTACATGTACTCAGAATTTGGCTCTTTATTTGTTCTTTAATTTAAAAAGTGTGGACAAGACAGATTAGATCTCACATTTGTGTAACCCGTTTGGGCAAACGGGGTCTGTAAATAGCAACTGTTACTGGTCACTGATACTAAGAATAGATTATTTGAACCCGGTAGTTACTGTGGTCAGCATTTTGTTCTCTTTTGAAGATTATTTATTCAAGAATATGCTTATGATACAATATATGTTAATATATTCCCCTTTGCTTTTTGGGATAGAGCATGTATTCCCAGAAATCCTAAGGAAAAGTTACTCTATTCCTAGAAGGGGAATGCTTATCATTAATCTATTAAAGAAGCCGTTGTAAACAGAAAATAGATTATGGGTGCATCTATGCATGTCACTATGGTGATGTTGTTACTGCACTGTGATTTGATACTTCCAAAAGGAAATACTAAATCATGGAGCAGTAAGAGCCTGTACTGTGCCATACGTGCAACACATGGTTATTTTTAGAAGCTACTTTGCTGTAGCAGTGTGCTATACCAGGGGAGTGTGTTGCTATGGTGAAGTAGCTGTTGCATCACAGTTCTTGCCAACAGACACTACATCGCTGTAGTGCATTGCTACGGTGCCATAGCGTCATGTGTAGATGTGCCCTATGAGAAGTATCTGAAGGTGGCTTTTCACCAAATCATCATAATTGTCCTGATTTCTTCTTTTCAGATGATTGGAGCCAAAGAAAACAAACAGTGAAACAACATCATTACTAAGCCCGTGTACCACTCAGTGATGTGTATACAGGTGTCTACTACAGCACAAGGAAAAAATACACAGGAGTAGAAAAGTGATTAACAATTGCAAATTTATTTGATGGAATGGTATACTTTAGACAAGTGAGTCACTTACAATAGACAAGGGGCAAGATCCTATTCTACCTATTAGGTGCCTAAGTGGTTTTAGGCACCTAAGTACAATCCTATTCCATCCTATTTTGTCCTTGAAAAACTGTTAACGTAAGGTAAGGTTTCTTTTTCTTCCTTGCTGCTTTTTGTTATTTATTAGCGTGATAGCTAAGATGATGCCATATTTTAAAAGTAGATGTATTAACAGTTTTTCAAAAGCTCAAGCAGGGTGGAATAGGATCACATTTGGGTGTCTTAGTGAATTTATCACTTAATAAGTGGAATAGGAGCCCAAATAGTCCAAGAGGAGGTTTCTTTTCCTTGTATAAATCAAGTCTGATTATGGGCTGAGCAGTTACCCCGTTAACTTCATGCTCCATGGAAATCTGAAAGAAATTAGCTCACGTTAGCATTATAGTCTGTGTTGTGCTCTTGAGCTGTAATGTTAAAAGAAATTCAGTTATGTTATTTGGATCACCAAACTAGAAATGAACTGGCACAAACTTCTAGCCATTCAAATAATAATGGAAACAAATTTGAAAGTTTAGGATAAATATCTTAAGTGTAGTATGCTGATCCGAACCAGTGAAGTCAGCACTCGTATACAAATCCTTCTTCCCTACATAATTCTTTCTTTCATCACCATGATCTACCTCCATTTCATTGGCTTCCTTCTCAAGTGTTGAGGTGCAGAGTGTTTACCTTATACCCCATTCAGTTAACCCCTTTCAAGATGCACTGTTCAGTGGCAGGAGGCTAATGTACTTCATAAATTATAGTTCAGTCCTAGCACTTAGCTTGGATTACAGAAAAGACCTGGTTGGCTCTATGCACAGGGTGAATTTCACGCAAAATATTTAAATTATGCTCGTAAGTTGACTATAGTTAACCCTTGTCTAGGTGCAGTCCATTCCCCTTGTTTCTGTTGTTCAGCTGGTCAATTTTTGTTTTGTAAGCTCAGCTTGCAAACTTCTATAAAAATGAATAGTCCTGGGACAGATTTTGGGAACATTAGGAACCCACAGATCAGGGGTTCACATACAAACAGGAGCGGTCTTGCTTTTATTCGGCACCTCATTATGCACCACGCTGTATGAATCAGGTTCTCTTTTGCACAAGCCTCTTTTCCTCCTTAAATAGATTAACACTGAAGACTCATTTTTGTATCCACAACCATCACTAGACGCAGAGTAAATTATTCTGATATTGCAAGGAGAAAAGTAACAATGTCTGCATTTAGAAAAAATGGGGGAGACATCACAGATACATGCCTTCCTTTCAAGATGAATATCTACTATGTTTTTCACCAGTACCATGCAATTATCATTATCATGATGTACATACCCCAACACTGAGCCGGTCATGCTATTTTAAAACCTCTGTCGTTATTCACGCATCCAACACCTATTGTTTGTTACTATAGTTCATCTAAAATTAGGTTCTAATCCTGATGTCAAAGGAATGCAGAGATCCACACCAGCTCATTCTAATAAGTTTGAGCGGCTTTAGATTGTAAATCTATTAGGGCAAAATTTTGTTTTATTAGTGTTTAATTAGTAATTTGTTCTTCCTTGAATAAACCCATTGAGTGCCAGATTACATGAGATAGAAATGTAGTTACATAAGGTGAAGCACCTAACATGCTTTTTGGGTTCTGTGCAAATATTTCCAAGTGTGGAATAGGAAAACAAAAGGATTTTTTTTTTACATTGCTAACCTTTCTTTAAAGAACACAACTCATTCATGATGAGCCCTTTAAAGAAACAGATCAAACCTCATTGGTTGTCTATATCCACAATGTGGACTGCAAGCTGGGTCCCTGTAAGATGCCCAGTACTTGTATAGAGCAACTAGTAATGCCCAGGCCTGGGTTTGTAACAAGATATAAATAAGTCCTTCTGTCTCAAAGACTTTTATATTTGTTGATTAAACATTTTAAACATCACCTTCTGGATGGCCTACATTCCACCATCTTCAATAGTCCTTCCATTTCGAGGCTGAAAATGTAATATTTAAATAATCATATTGAAGTACAGATGTCAGATAAAATACACTGAAATGTGTCTCTCCTAGTACATTTAAGACGGTTGAGAAATCTTACAATTTTGTCTCAAATGGATAATGTGTTGAATGAAGATGGCATTTTTAAATAGTGTGGATGAGGTGATTTGCCTCAGTCTTGGATATGTTTGCTGAGCTGCTGCACCTAGAGATAAAAGCCTGGCTGACTGAATTCTCATTCAGCATCTTGGCCCTAGTTTCACCAGATAAACAGGCCTAGCTCTACGCATATGGGTAGTTCGACTGAAATTACTCAGGATGCTGGTATATTTTTAAAGCATGTGTTTAAATACCCTGCTGAATCAGGCCCCCTTGTTAACTAAATTTCCTTGCTGTGTTGATGGAGGCTTGTGAAAACCAGTTGCATTAATTCAGTCTAGGTAACAATAGCATCAGCAATATATTCACCTTGGACAAAGAAGCAACAGTTCAATGAGAGAGAAATGAGCTACAGATTATTTTCATCATTTCCAATTTTGCTTCTGGTATTTTATTCTCTTGTGCATTATACTATCACCGATTGGGCATGCTGTCTGAACTGTTTGAACGGTGTTCTTATATTTGTCTAATGAATTAGTGCTAGCACTTTAAAGAGAGTTGAGGGTGGAAACCTCTAGGTAGAACAGCTCTGGGGGTACCATTTGGAGAATCGGCCAATGTACCAGAATGTCCATTACTGTCCAGAATCTCACTGTCCTTCCTGGTTCTCTGGTCTAATCACAAGGATGTATGATGGTATGGACATACATACCATTTGGAATAATTTTTAAAAGGGGAACCTTTCAAAAGGGTAGCAGCTGGCACCTCTAATTATGTGTGGACAAGCCAGGCATTATACTAATATAGCAAAACCATTTCAACTTTCATGAAACTTTGATAACTCTGTATGCCTGGCTTGTTCACATGTAACAGCTACTGCCCTTTTGAAACAGCTCCATATGTACGTGTGTCTGTACCCTGCACTTTCTAAGAGATGACTGTGTGGCTATAGAATGAGGGCCACAAGAATTCCTAATGAAAATAGCTCTATATTCTTTCATACAGATAGTAGAGAACTGAATAAGAGACAGGAAAAGAAAGTGAAAAATAAGTTACCCTGAAAAGAAAAAAGGGTCGTCCCATGGTACCAGGACTATCCTGTAAATTAAAACACAGACCATTAACACAATATTGGAAATGATAATTTCATGGATATCCCAATAAGTCTCAGCATCATTTTGTCAATGTATCAGTAATTCAGGAACCTTTTCAACAGCATGCAAATAGCTACATGCCAACAGTCTTTGATGCCCATTCTGCTGAGGTACTGATTAAATATTAATACCCAGAGGGCACTGTCAAGAACCATCCATTTTGTGTGATGTAAATATATTCAGTTCTGGTATTTTAATATGGTGCTGCAAGGGTTAAGAAAAAGTGAAGGTAGCTTTAGAAGTGATAGATAATATTCTAGAAGCAAAGTGAGCTACTTTAATACAACTATAGTCTTGACCATTTAAAAAATCCCCCACTTGTTTCTTATGTTAGCGTACCTTCTTTGTAAACTCTGCAGTAGCAATTTGTTCCTGCAAGGTGATAGTGCATATTAGTTTTAATGAATCCTTTCATTCATGAGGTTTATTTTGATTTCTCATAATCATCAGCAGTGGAGGATTAATCAGGCTGCTTCAATTCAGTTTATTGGAAGAGAGAGTATTAAACACAAACACAGATAGGAATTGTAACAGCATATCAAAGTTGATGCATTTAAGTATTGCTATAACTAACTGTTATGCAAACTGCATGCTGCTTTCACTTTGATCCAAAACTACACCATCATGCTCTTGAGGACAACACAGTACTCGAATTGAGGAAAACATTGGGAACACCATTCACGCAGTTGCAAAGCAATGATTTGTTAAAATATGGGTACTCCCCACCTTTCATATTTCCATCAGTTTTTAATCTGATCATAGCTGCTGCACCTGCTGCACGTGTTCTTTAGGAGATTACTCATTTGGGGCTGAATTCTGCATCAGTGAAATCACTGGAAGTTGCACCACTGACTTCAGGGGGAGCAAGAAAAAACCCTGTCAGTCAGGGCTAGAACCTGCAATCTGTTGGGGGTGGGGGGGCTGATCAGATTGTAAGACTGGGGCTGGAATGGGAAGAGCCAGTGCATTCTCACCAGCAGAGGTGAATGGAAGCAGCAACTACACTGCTGAATGGGTGCAGTTATCATGGGGAGGTTTTAAAGATGGGTAAGTAAAATGTAGATGAGAGTAAGAGAAGAGAGGACATGGCACAGGGAAAAGACAGAAAGAGTAAAGGAGAGGAACTGACATTTATATAAAACCTGAGGAGAAGGAAAGGCAAGTTGGAGCACAGGGCATAAGGCAAAGGGACTTCCCCTTGTTAACTGTTCTCAATTCGAGCATTAAGACAATGATTTACAATTGACATGCACTGTTGGTGCCATACAATACTATGGAAGAACAAGTGCATACTGGATCAAGGAATCTTTTCGTTCTTCCCTCTGAGAGCTTTGGAGCAAGGCGCGTTAAAGGATGCAGAAGGGAAGACTACAATAAAAAAATATTGTGAACACTAGGTTTGTAATAAAATGGTCACTGAACATGAAACATTCAAACACTCTGGCTCAGTGGTCTAGATAGCCTAGGGGTCCCAAGAGCTTGACTAAGATTTTTTTTATATATGTGAATTTATTCTGGAGAGGAACCAAGGCAAAATATGAGCATTTTAGCAGCACTTTGTTGTTTTATTAGGTGGAATTTTCAAAGGAGTCTATTGCGGTTATGGAACTAAGTTCAGCTGATCCTCAGTGAGGTTTGGGTATATAACTCCATTAAGATCCTTTGAATATGCCAGTTGTAAGATATATGCAAAACAGTTCTACTTAGTTCTTTAAGAAATATTCCAGAACTTGGGTGGAATTTTAGCCCTGTGACTTCAGTGGGAGTGGGTCATTGCCTTTCGTGGGGTCTGGATTTTAACCCTTTCATTAAAACACACTCTTAATGTTTTAATCTAATTTTGATCTAAATTAGATTAAGCCCCCCAATTTCCCAAAAAATAAAGTCCTAGGACTATGTAAGGATATCCAGCTCCACCTGAAATCAAAAGGATGTGTGTCAGTTTCTACTATAGCTAATTAAGCGTATTGTGTCCATGGTGTTCAGAAAAAATCCTAAGCTTTCGGGAGAGCTGAAGAAAGGGATATTCATAACATAAATAGGTGTGTACAAGGCTTCTTCCACCTTTGAACCTAATCTTGTATCCTAACCATTCTTAAAGCATCCAATACGGGCCTGAAATACTAGAGACCCTGACACAAACTGCTACATGAAAAAATACTATATGAAATTATCTTTCAACCTGGAACAGTGATTATGATTACCTAGCATGAACCACCATTGACTTCTGCAGGACAATAGTCTTACCAGTGCTATCCAGATGATTTTGGAAGGCTTCTAATGAGCGATCTGCAGGTTACGCTAATGTTACTTTAAATATATTTACTAGATAAGCAGAACCCAAGGGTTGTTTTTTTCCCTTCTTTCATATTTTCAGTAGAAAACAGTGCAAGTACTATGCTTTTTAGTAATTTAATAATAGGATCAAAATTATAATAAAATCAAGGAATTGGCAAGAAGGTGGCTAGGGGATCTCATCAGAGTACTCCCTGTAATTAAAGACATTACTCATGATCTGAGACATACTGTCCAAAACAAACTCCATGGCAACATCTTTCCCTTTTCTAGCCAAAGTCAATCAAATAAACAAGGTCCAAAAGATTCTGGGACTTCTGTAGGTAGGTTTCTTGAATAACAAGAATTATACAGTTATATCAGGTGAGAAGTAGCTCTAAGCCTGCTACTGACATTGGTTGCAGATGGTATGAATTAAGGGAAGTCACTATGTCATAGCCATGAACCTTAAGCACAGAAACAGCCCCAGTAAAAATCAGTGGAGCAGTTCATAAATGTTTAACTTGGGTATGGAAATAATGTATCTTGCTGTCCCACAGCCTAGTGAGTATCTTGTTAACACATTTAAGTCTGTGCTACACAAAAGTGATGATGTTAAAATACTGACCCCATTTTTAAGTGGATATGCTGAATCTTGAGCTCTTGAGTAGTGAAATAAAAACTGCATAAAAAGAGCAAATTTAGTAAATAGCTTTATGGAATCTAAGAGTGAATGTTATATACAAATTACTACCAGGAAGCAATACTTACTCTTTTATATATTTCCTCGCTATTTTCCTAGTAAAGATAATGATGATGATACAGTGTTTAACTCTATTTGGCTGGAGAGAAGTGTTGAGAAATTTTTTTCAAGTAAAAAAAAAAATCATTAGATCTTACCTCAGCTATCTGCATGCTATTAAATATGGAGTTACAAAGATCCATAATAGAACTGGAGATCTAAAAGACAAATAATATTTTAACACACATGTATATTTGTGGCTGGGTGGATTTGACTTAAATCAAATAGATTTAAATCATAATTTAAGTCAGTAGTCAGGAAGCCTCAATTTAATCATTGTTTTCTACAAAAAGTGCATTCTTGTTGTTTGATATAACTTTTGTTCAAGGCTACAGAAATAGGCTTCAGGATAGCCAGCATATGTTCTACATTTCTCTTTAGCTCAATGTTGAGAACTTTGGCTATGACAATTCCATCTATTTTGTCATGATTTTGTTCACAAATTGTCACCAGATTAAGTTCTCAATATATCATTCAAAACAGTCAACTACTGAGTTCCATCGCACACCTTGTGAGAGAGTTAGTTTGGTTCCTCCTGCTTTCTTCAGAGCAGCTGCTGCAAGGTGGTTATTACGGAAGTATTTTGCAATTTCAACAAAATTCTGCTCAAAATGTTTCTCTTTTGTTTCTACTGCCTCTCCTGCCTTGCATTTATCTCCAGACTCTTCCTTTTAGCCCAGATCTACACCACCCCCAACAATCTTTATTAATTTAATTTCTTGAAATGTTGCACTTTTAGAGAGAGGTAAGGGCTTGACTCTGTGTACACGTAACTTGCAGAGAGACAATAGGGTGATGGGTGTGTAATCTCAGGTCTGTTATCTCTCATCTCCATATACTTCTGTTAACAAGGATGTCATCTTGAGAGACAAATCCACAGTTTGAGAACAGAAACTAAGCATCACAGAGATGCTTAATGGGATCTTCTAGACTAAGCACTAAGTCCCATTGGGTAGAGTGATTTTATTTAATCTTTACTAAATTATAGAGAAGCCTCTGGGAACCCCATAAGATTGGGTCCCTAATATATTCCATGGCCTAATGTGACTCATTTATAGAACTTTTTTCTAAAAAATTACATGAATATATTGTCTCAAATAGTATATAATTAGAAGGTATAATTCCTATTCCATGATGATATTTTTGAGCTTTAACGTATCTTAAATTAAAACTATTTTATATAGGTTTATTTTTTAAAAAGATTAACAAAAAATCAAAAAATACAATTAAATAAAAAAATATGATTTTTTTTTTTAAATTTTAAAAAATTGTTGATTTTTATCCATCCTGATTTATGGTATGTTTTTGCATATGACTCTAGAGGCAACACCTGATTTGTCTTTCATTTTAATAAATGATTCTCTTGAAGCCCATAGCATTACAACTAAGGTCAGACAGTGGGACTATGAATACTGGAGCTGTTGTCAGATACAACTTATGTATTTTATCAGGTGAAAAGTGATAGAATGTTGTTAATATTATCAACCAAGCCACATACTGCCCACAATGCAAGCAGAATCACATAGGAGGTATTTAAAATGGAAAGAGGCTTAGAAAGCCATTGACAAGACGAATTCAATCGATACTCCATTTCATCTATTATTGCTCTTCCATGTTGTTAGAGGTTGTTCACAGTGGTGCAGACCTAAGCTCCACTGAAGTGGATGGGAGTCATTTAATTAATCTCAAGTTATTTTGAATTGGGCTCCCCCTGTGCCCTGTTTATACTATATCTGATCAGGAACAATTTGCTTGTAGAACAAGTTAGAAAACCTCTAGCTCGGTCATGTACACAGACAACAACTATTTTGAAGTCCAATATGAAGTCTGTTGAAGCCAGTAGATGACCATTGACGTCATTGCAAATTTAAGATTCAATAAAACAACACAGCAAAGATGAGAGTGAAAACCTGACACCATGTGAAGTCAACAGGAATTCTGATCTTGACAGGGCTTGGATTTGTACGTATTATTCCCACTAAATAAGAAACATGGCAATCTCCAGTGGAAGTGTTGGGTGGGGGGGA